AAATGAAAAACAATATATATAGATTTAATGCATTTTAACCCTACAAAAACTCTGATGACAATTTCAAGAAAATAGAATATTCTAAAATTTATATTCTAAAAGACCTCAAATAACCAAAGCTATCCTAAGGGGAAATAAGAACAGAGGTATGCCACACCCTGACAAACTATATTTATAAAGTGTACCTAATAATCAAACAATTATTGAAACAAAATAGATGCACAGATCAGTTAAACAGTATTGAGTCTGGAAATAACCCCACATATTATGGGCAGTTAATACTGACAAAGGAGACAAAACCATACAACAGATAAAATAAGTCTTTTCAACAAATGGTGCTCAGAAATCTGGACGGAAGGAAGGAAGGAAGGAAGGAAGGAAGGAAGGAAGGAAGGACACCACACACAAAAATTAGGTCATAGTGTATTTCAGGTTGTGGTGTATTCAGGTCGTGAATTGTAATTACAAGGAAATTGTAAAATATGTGAAAAAATAAGCAATATACTTGTGGACATAAGTAACAGAGATATTGGGGGGGGGGGGACTTGTCTCCAAAAACTAAGGGAAAAAAATAAAAAAGTAAATGAATCTACTTTAATTTTTTTTTTAATTTAGTTTACTAAACTTCTGTATGTGTATATATGTGTGTTTAATGGCATGGATCAAACCCAGGACCTGACACATTCAAGTCAAGTATTTTACTTCTCAACTATTTCCTAAACCTTTGGGCAAGATATCTAAAGAGACATTTCTCCAAAGAAGACACCAAATGTCACAGTAAAAAATCCTTCAACTTTGGAGATGGAGAGCAGAACAGTGTGTTTGTCTTGCATGCAGCCAGCCCTGTTTTTGATTGCCAGCACCCTCATATGGTCTGTTAAGCCCCGCCATAGTGATCCCTGAGTGCAGAGCTAGGAGTAAGCCCTGAGAAACACTGGATGTACCCCCCTCCCCAATCAAACAAAAATATTACTCAACCTTACTTATTATATGTATGTATATCAAAGTCACAATGACTTATCACCTCATATCATAAGAATGGCCTACATAGAACAAAACAAAATAACAACAACAACAAAAAAACTAGAAACAACATGTTGGTGAGGGTGTGGAGAAAATAAAAATTCACACCGTTGGTAAAAATATAAATTGGTACAGACTCAATGGAAAACAGTATGTGACTAAAAACTGAAAACACAAATACCATATGATCCAGCAATATTTCTAGAAATGTATTCAAGTAAAATGAAAACACTACTTCGAAAAAATACATGCATACTATTTTTCATAGCACCATCATTTATAATAACTAAAATATGAACAAAGAACTAAATGTCTATCTGTAAATGAATGGATAAAGAAGTGGTGCATATACTCAGTAGAATACGACTCTGTAGTAAAAACAAAACAAAACAAACAAAAAATGGCCTCCTGCCTTCTGCAACATCATGGAAGAAATCCGAAGTAATTATGGTAAGCAAAGTAAGTCAGGAAAATAAAAGACAATTACTGAATGAAAGACAATTAATGAACAGTTTCTCACATGTGGAATATGAATAGCTGAAGCAAACACACACAGATAACAACAAAAATAACTCTGGGACTATAAAAATACCAGAGTGGAAGGGGAGGGTGGTGGGGCGGCAAGCTGAAGGAATCAATCTGATAAGGGTGAGCAGAACTGGGGAGTAGGGAGTATCTGTGTGTGCAGTGAGGCCTACACACTTCCAGAGGGGTGACGCTGACTACTAAAATTTATACAGTATTGAAAATCAGTGGTCAATCACTACAATTTTAAGTACAGGAAAAAAAAAATCAAGGATGAGTTAGCTGGGGCAAGAAGACGAGAGTGAATTCAACATCTATCCTGCCCATCCTAAATTCCTCCCAACCTCCCAGGCACTACCAATCTGAGCTGTTACATAAAATTCTATAGACTATTTTGATTTGGGGGGCCATGCCTGGCTGTGCTCAGTTCACTCCTAGCTCTGCACTTAGAGATCACGCCTAGCCGGGTTCAGGCATGGTGCCAGGTAATCAAACTGGGATTGGCTGCATGCAAGGCAAGTGCCTTACCCACCGCGCTTTCTCTTCAGCCCTCTGGAGAGTCTTCTACGTGTGTGTATTCTAGAGACTGTCACACAACTGCCCCTGAGCTGTGGAACAGTACTTTCTCCAAAGCACTGGACAGAGATTTCTGGGGAAGGCCAAGGAGATGACGAACTGGTATTTGGGCTTGACAGCCACCTGAGTACAGGTGAAGATGTGAGCCCCTCTAGCACCGCCTTGGGTATCCACCCTCCCACAGAGCCCACCTTCTCTAATGCAGGTGTTTCTTTCTTTCCTGTAATTTGTCATAAATACTTAATATATGCACATTGTGCTACATCTATGGGTTAGTTTCACATCTATGGGCTAGTAAAATTGGTTCAAGCAGCAATACTCCACATGTTCTGCCTTAAAGAGACAAGGAGAATTGTTTTGGGGTCCAAATGAATGAACCTCCTTATGTGATGGCTCCTTATTTAAATGGGTTGGTCACAACAAACCCTCCCTTATCAGTTCTACTGCCCAAAAGACAAACCAATGACATGGGATAGGAACTAGCAACTGGGAACCAAGGACAGCCCTGCACGGAATGTGGGTGAGGCCTCCAGGCCCCAAGCAGTGAGGCATGGAGCTGGACACCCCAATCCCTGGGTCATGGGGCTGCTTCTAGGTTTTGGCAGCACTCATTCTCTCTTCCCTGGGGCAAAGTGCTGACCACACTACTGTGTATGTGCGTGTGTGAGCATGTTCTTCAGGCTATCACACAACTGCCCCTGAGCACGGCAGCAACCTGGAAACACAATTTTCCAAAGATTCTGAGCTCACAGAGATGACACCCCCATTTCAGAGCAGCAGAGAGTAAGAACCAGAGCTTCAGGCTGGGGATGTCAATGCACCTGAACTAGGGTGGGTGTAAGATAGGAAGCCTGTAGACTGACCTGGCATCTTGACCTGTGAGAACAGTCTTGGGAAGAAACAGATGCCGAGTGAAGAGCTTTGGAAAATGACAGGGCCAAGGCCTTCCTTCTGAAGAGGTGATGATCCTAGGACCCACCCTTCCTGCTGTGGGGAGTTAGAACTATGGGCCTCAAGACCCATCTGACACCCCTTCTAAAAGCTGGGGCACTGAACCTACATGAAATGTTTTCAGTATTGGATCCCATCCTGCCCAACCTTCAGCCATGTCATCCGAGCAGTCTTTCCACAGAAGCATCCAGGGAGCTGAGCAGTGGTTGTTCAGCCTGTGCTGTGGTGCACAGCCCACAGAGCCCTCAGTCTGAGGAGCAACACTAAGGCAGATGAACCCAGTGAGACAGATGCTCCCACACTGCACCCAAAGGACCAGAGGTTGCCCTCCTGGGAAATTGGAAAGAGGGTATTAAATAGACACAGAAAGGCCTTGTCTGCACTTCTCTCAACCTCACCATTAAGAAATCTGTACTTGATGACTGGATAAAGAAACTGAGGTACATCTACACAATGGAATATTCTGGAACCACCAGGAAAAATGAAATCATGAAATTCATTTATAATGGATAGACCTGGAGAGTATGCTGAGTGAAATGAGTCAGAAGGAGAGGGACAGACATAGAATGACTGCACATTTGTGGGGTATAAAAATACATAGTATGAGACTAATACCCAAGGACAGTTAAAACATGGGTCCGGGGGACTGGTTCACTGTTGGAAGCTTGCCACACTCGGTGGTGAGGTGGGGGCAGTTGGGATAGAGAAAGGACCACTATGGCAATGATAACTGGAAGTGATCACTCTGAACAAGAGCTGAGTGCTGAAAGTAGGTAAAGAGACAAATATGATCAAATATGGTAATCTTTCAGTACCTCTACTGCAAACCATAATGTCTGAAAGGAGAGACACAGAAAGGGGGAGGGGGGAGGGAAGTGTCTGCCACAGAGCCATAGAGCAACCTGGAGGACTGGGGTGTGGCAGGAGGGAAACTAGGGACATTGGTCATGAAAAATGTACACTGGTGAAGGGACGGGTGTTGAAAGTGTATAGCTGAAACCCAATCATAATCAACCTTGTAGCTGTGCATCTCATGGTGATTCAATAAAAAATTAATAAAAGAAAGATTAAAAAAAATGATATCTGTTCTCAGCTCAGGGCACTCCACCCACTCTGGGGCAAGCCCCAGACTGTCCCTATATCTGCTATAAAGAAACCAAATCAAGGAAGCAAGGTATTGTGCTAAAGAGAAGTTTCCCAGCCAAGCTAAATTTTCAAGCAGAGGTAATCACATTAAAATTATCAATCTCCTTTTACCAAATACCACCAACATAGTTTCTAATCCTTCACAGGTATCTTCCTTGAAAAAATTTCTGTGAGAAACATGAATAATCCCCCTTAAGTACAGGCACTTTGATCCTTTTTCCCGTGGGTTCTCGGAGTGTCCATGCTCCTCCATCCCTCCCTTTTCTGAAGCCCTCTTTCTGGGATTATTCAAACAGCCCAAGTTCAAACACTGGAAGCAGGCACCCAAAGAAACAGAAATCAGAAATAATTAGACCAGGAAAAGTAAGCACAAGACTGAAAGAGATCAGGGCAATTAAATCAGACCAGAAGTCCAAAAGATCTTTTGGACCATTCTTTCAGAAAAGAGGAAACTTTGGTTTTTCTTTCGGGCTGTGTTATTTCAAGTTTCTCCATTATTTTTTGCCATCTGGAAAACATTGACTATTCCAACCCTCCTTCCATCTGTATCACAGGCCCATTAAGAATGGTTCCAATTAATTCTAGATGAGTGCTCTACATTCTTTTGCTGCTGTGCCGCAGAATGAAAATACCTTTGGATCACATGGATTTGCTCATTTCAAAGGAGGTGTGACATTCCCTCCCTTTCTATCTCCCCGAAGCACTTTCAAAGTGCACCCTCCAACTACAGCCATGACCAGGCCCCTTGTCAAGCTAGGCATCCCCTCACAGGAGCTCACCTCTTGATCGGTGAAAATCTCGATGAAGTTCTGGAAGGAGAAAGAGCCAGACTGGAGAATGAGCTCTCCGGTATTTTCAAAGCACTGGCCGGTCAGCACGAGCAGCTTGTGTCGGGCCGCATCCGTGATCATTAAGCGCACCTGGAACAAAGCAGAGGGAGCAGGACATGAGCCACTGGCAGCCTGGCAGCCCCAGGACCAGCCCTTGGAGTGTGACGTTTGTCACCACTGAGCCTCTGCATGCAGGGTCCATGTTCCCTGGAGAGCTGGGCAGGGCTGACTGTGGTCTTCAGCTTGCCGTCCCTGCCCCTGTTCAATTCTGGCTACAGCCAAGACAGCAGTGGTGACTGACTTTCTGACATTCTCCTCGTGTTTCCTTGTCTATTGCAAAGCGGTCCCTGCAGCTGGCATTCATGGGTTCCACAGCTGGGCCCACAGCTGAGGCCTGTGGATATCACAGTCACGAGGTCCAGTCAAGGTCCCCCAGCTGCTCAGGAAACAGGTTTCCAAGGGGAGGAGGGTCCCAAACCAGCCCCTCTCGGCTAGGATCCCCTTTTTCTTCCGGAGCCATGCACCTAACACACAGCATTATGTGCAGTCTCCAGTGGAATCAGCAAGGGGCCTCACGCTAAACAGAAACAAAGGCTCCCCTTTGAATGGGCGTCTTTTACATAGTCTCATACACGACTCGCACTGCGGAATGCTGGGAAGTTTCAGTGGCAGGAAGCCAACCTGGCCTGTCAATCTAAGTTAGCACCAAGATATTCCTTAGGAGCCCAATTCAGTCAACCCAAACTGAATGCTGGCCATCAGACTAGGCTCAGGGGAAGATGGAAGAGTAGGAAGGCCTTGGACCCATTGTTCCCCAAAAACCCCCCAATATGATCGAGGAATGCACCAAAGTAACCCACTCCTACCCCATCTGCAGCACAAGAGAACCTGGGGTCCTTAAAGAAACTCCTTATGCTTTCCTGTTCCATTTCTCACAGCAGTCCCAGGTACTCGGCCTGGATGTACAGCCAGCATCCAAGTTTATTCTGGCTGTAGTGACTCCCTGCTTCCGTGAGTCACAGGGAGAGTGCCAGTCACATCAGTGCCTCGACCTTAGCCTCAAGAGACTGTCGAGGCGGCTCTGCTGGTCTGAAGCAGGAAGAAAGGATTGATCACTGGCGCAAAACAATCTCCACAGCAAGAGTTCCGTGGGGAAGCAAGCCAAATGCCTATCAGCTGATAAACAGAAAAACAGCATGTGATCTTCCCAAACAAGAGAACAGTACTAAAAAGGAATGACGTCCAGATACATGTTATAATATGGAAAACATTCTTAATGAAACAAGCCAGGCACAGCGGACCACCTATTGCATGATTCTGTTATCTGAAACATAGGGATATAGGTGAATTCATCACTGTCACTGTCCTCCCGTTGTTCATCAATCTGCTCGAGTGGGCCCAGTAACGTCTCCATTGTGAAACTTGTTGTTACTGTGTTTGGCATATCGAATACATCACGGGGAGCTTGCCAGGCTTTGCCGAGCGGGAGAGATACTCTCAATAGCTTGCCGGCTCTCCGAGAGGGGCGGAGGAATCGAACTCGGGTCGGCCATGTTGGCTGCATGCAAGGCAAACGCCCTACCCACTGTGCTATGGCAGAGGTAAAAAATAAATAGGTTGTTGCCAGAGGTAGTGAGAGTAAACAGGAACTGCAAATTGCAAATCATCCTGGAGGGAAGGGGAGGGTGACAGGTTCTGGAATCGGTAAGGACAATTGCACAACTTTGTGAATATAAAAATCCATGAGAGCCGGAGAGACAGAACAGGGGGCTAGGGTGTTTTCCTGGCACAGAACTGACCCAGGTTTGGTTGCAGCACTGCATATGGTCCCCTGAGCACAATCAGGAGTGATCCCTGAGCACAGAACCAGGAGTAAGCCCTGAGTTCAGTAAAGTATGGCCCCAAGTAACTCTCCCCCCGAATGAAACATAACAAAAATGAAAACTCATTAGTATCACACTGCAGGAGGAAGGGTTTTATGGTCTGGGATCCATGTCTCAATTTTCAAAAACAGGCTATTGTCACAGATTTGCCCCACACATGGGCAGAGGTCACTCTGCAGGCCTCCAAGGACTCCTTGGGCCAAGAAATAGCTCAGGCTCAGAGGCGCTGACCTGCAAGAGACACCGTGGGAGGTGGAGCCACGTCCACCCCTCGGCTCTGACTTCAGCCAAGCTCAGGCCTTCAGGGGCTCTGAAATTCGGGCATACTCAGATGATCATACGTCACAGACAGTGAGACAAAATGGAAGGGGAGGGCGACCCTTTGTCAAACAAGCTTCTTGGTGCCAATATGTCTAACAGCAAGTACTCCCTATGGGTCTGAGCCACATTCCTTTTATTTTAGTGAAGAAAAATAGTTGTACTTAAGAAGTTTGAAAGAGGAGAGAGGAGAGGGAATCCCATAAAGTAAAAGAAAGACACAACCTGATGGGAAGTACCTGTGAGCCTAATTTAATTTTAGGTGTAATACCTTGTCTGTGGACAGAGCCACCTTACTGTCACACGTGGACAAGCACCGGGAGACCGATATCCTGTGAGACTCCCTTGATGGGAATGGTAACTGTGCTGCAGCTGGCAGGAGAGGAACTAAACCTACTATCTCCTAAACCCAAGGGCCCACCCCAGCATCCCTCCCTCCCTCCCTGACTTCCTTCCTTCTTTCCTTTCTCCCTCCCTCTCTCCCTCCCTCCCTGACTTCCTTCCTTCTTTCCTCCCTCCCTCCCTCCCTCCCTGACTTCCTTCCTTCTTTCCTTCCTCCCTCCCTCCCTCCCTCCCTCCCTCCCTCCTTGACTTCCTTCCTTCTTTTCTTCTCCCTCCCTCCCTGACTTCCTTCTTTCCTTCCTTCCTCCCTCCCTGACTTCCTTTCTTCTTTCCTTCCTCCTTCCCTCCCTCCCTGACTTCCTTCCTTCTTTCCTTCCTTCCTCCCTCCCTCCTTGACTTCCTTCCTTCTTTCCTTCCTCCCTCCCTCTCTCCCTCCCTCTCTCCCTCCCTCCCTGACTTCCTTCCTTCTTTCCTTCCTCCTTCCCTCCCTCCCTGACTTCCTTCCTTCCTTCTTTCCTCCCTCCCTCCCTCCTTCCCTCCCTGACTTCCTTCCTTCTTTCCTTCCTCCTTCCCTTCCTTCCTCCCTTTTTTCTTCCCTCCCTCCTTCCCTTCTTCCTTCCTTCCTTTTTTAAATAGGGCTGGAGTGACAGCACAGCGGTAGGGCGTTTGCCTTGGGCACAGCCGTCCCAACTAAGCCAGATTCGATTCCTCCGCCCCTCTTGGAGAGCCCAGCAAGCTACTGAGAGTATCTTGCCCTCATGGACAAGCCTGGCAAACTACCCGTGACGTATTCAATATGCCAAACACAGTAACAACAAGTTTCACGATGGAGATGTTACTGGGCCCGCTCGAGCAAATTGATGAACAATGGGAGGACAGTGCAGTGCTACAGAAATGTATTTAAAAACATATTTTGAAGATTCTTCTTTGTGACTCCCACATTCAGTTATACAAACCTGTATGGGATTGCCACTCACAGTTTAAGAAGCTAGGAATGAAACAAGAATTTATTTTCCTAAAAGTCAAAAGATTGGTTATCTGAAATATCTTTCTTTCTTTCTTTCTTTCTTTCCTTTTTTTTCTTTTTTTAAAGCAAAACAAGTTTATTTAGGAAATAAAGGAAGGGAAAGAGAGAAGCACATGCTACAAAAAGGACACAGTCTTCTCCAGATGGGGGGTGGGGGGAAAGCAAGTAAGACCACATTCCATGCAAGGGTGGACAGGGCATTTCCCCCAAACAGAGAAATGTGTCCTAAATAAGAAAGTCCATATCTCATGGGGGAGATACAGGCAAGTGTGCAAATAGTTGTATTAATATAAGAATATGCGTAAGAACAAGAGTCAGCATTTATATTTCACCATGCTCTGTTCTAAGCACTTGCCATTTCTAAGTGGAACATTAAATGTAAACAACTGCTACGAGTTGTTTCACAGAGGCCAGGAGACAGGAAATCTCATGCTGGGGGCCACCTGGCTAATCTGGCAGTATCACACACAGTCCTCAGACACCCCAGCTGAGGCCCTCCCCTCAAGATGGAATCTAATGGGGCATTGCACGGAGATGCCAACCTCCTCCAAACAGACTCTCACTGGCATGCCCCGAGATGTACCGTAGATTTCAAAGTTCCTGGCTTTGACAAAGCACTATACTTCCAGCTGGTGCCCTTCTCAAAAGGGGAGGTACAGATGCAGACAGCCAAATGTCTCTGGGGGTAGGAAAGCATCCCTGCACCCCAAACCGCACTCTCCCCCCACTGTCTCCCTCACTTGACCCAGACCCTCCCAATAGCTGGGTTGCCGTGGCAAGGCTTACCTCGGTGCTGACTGCTTCATCAGAAGGGTTGATCAGGACCACGGTTTCTAAGACATCACTTCGGTGGTGAAGGATCTTTTGTCCTGAAGGCACAAAAACACAGACAAAAGAGGAACCCTTTAGCTTTTTCCAGATTAGATCGGCCCTGCCTGCTGTGAGCTCAGCCCACACTCAGACTGTCCACACGGTCTTGGGAAACGCAGTTGGGCTGGGAAACAGGAGCTGTCGGTTCCCCGAAGCTGGATCGGGGGGCTCAGGTCTCCTGGCGCTCTCACAACCCTGTGGTTTTCAGGGTTGGTCCCCAGACAGCCTCTGAGCATTAATGGCGGCTCCCATCTGAGACAGGGGTGGATGCCAGGAAAACTCGACAAGGGCTCTTGACATTTCCTTTCTCATGGTAATTGGGGATGTTTCTCCCTATCAGCCTTTCTTCTGGTGAGAACGCTGCCGAGATTAATTAGGAGCCTTATTGTAAAATGAATGACATCCAGAAACCCCAGCGAACAATTAGCCCCACAACCAGAATAGCTGTCTGAGGCGGGCCTACAGTCTGTTGGGGTATCCATTAATTAGTTCACTTGCTCATAGGAAAGTGGGGAAACTGTGAACAAATGAAAAAGTGGGGAACAACTCTCCCACTAGATGGGGTGGCCAAATCACCCCCAAGGACAGGCAAAGTTGACAGGGAAGAGAACAAGGTGTCAGGATGAGGTAGGCTGTCTACACCGTGCTCCAGGCCTGGGACTTCCTACAAGTTTGTGTGTGTGTGTGTGTGTGTGTGTGTGTGTGTGTGTGTGCTTAAAATATATCTGTAAGGGATACACTATGGCTGAAACCACCTCCAGTTGAAGTAGATGGAGACTCTGGTTGACCTGCTACAAAGGTTCTTCCTTCCTGGTCGAGGAGATGGAAATAATTAAGTTAATGCCTGGTTGGAGTGGGTTATTTAAGTTCTGCAAGCTGGTGAGGGACAGAGAAGAGGGCTGTTTGGGAGGGTAGGTATGATTATATATATCTACTGCTTGGAAGTCGCTAAAACTTTGGGGATAAGAGGAATCTCAAGGAGACAAACCCCAGAGGAGAGGAATACAAGAGGAGAGAATGACCAGAGAAGCAACTTCTAGGGAAAATAGGGTGATTTTTCAAAAGTCATAAGTAGAATTACTATGTGACCTGACAATTCCACAATCAGGACGAAAGATTAAAAGCAGGGGTTTGAATAGTATTTAAAAGCCAATATTCATTGTAGCATTGCTCACGACAGCTAAAATGGAGAGACGACCTAAGTGTCGTTCTAGGATTGGATAAACAAAACATGGTATATCATGCAATAAACCCTTATTCTGTGATTTAAAAAAATGAAGTGTGTGTGTTGCAAAATGGGCACACCCTGAAAAAAATCATAGTAAATGAAATAAGCCAGACACATATATACTGTAATTCCACTTACATGAAATATCTTCAGTAGGTAATTTTACAAAGTCAGAAAATAGATTAGAACTAAACAAAAAACAGAGCGAGAAGGAATGTTGAGCTATTGCTTACTGGGTAACAGAGTTTCTGTTTGGAAGGATGTAAAAGTGGTGAACTAGGGGTGATGATTGCACTATATCATAAATGCCCCTGAAGTGCACATTTAAAAATAGAAAAGGTGGTGATAAGATCTCTATATTCATCAAAACATTAAAATATCAATAATGTAATATACAAACAAATTTTGCATCGTGTGTTTTAAATGGGTGGATTTTATGACATGCAAATCGTATCTCCATTACAAGGTTGAAAAGAGAGAAAGTGATCTAGGGTACAGTGTTAAGGACTTTTAGTCTTCATATCCCCTGGGACCAGAAGTATTACAGCAACAGCATGTTGAAATGCCACCCTTGCCATTAGCAAGCCCAATCCTTGTTGTCTTCTCGTTCCTAACAGTGAATATTTAGCAGTAAATCCCTTGGGCAGATGAGGGAGAAATCCAAAATAAACACCATGGGGTCAGGCACTGGTTTAAACACTTCACATTGGCATTTATTTATTCCCCAGACCCCGACATAGTACTGTGATGGTCCCCTTATCCTGTGGAGGAAAATAAAGTCTAAAGCAGAGAACTGATGGGCCCAACATCACACAACTAGCAAATAGTTAGTCAGGACCTGGACTCTGGCTATCGAATCTTCTGCTTCACTGATCACTAGTGCTAGTATCCAAGACCAGGATTTAGAAAAACAGATAATACATAGAAACCGAATGCTAAGGGAAAATTCAGAGGAATGAAAACAGAGATGCACTTAAAGCACAAAGCCAGAAAGCATTAGGAGAAGGAAACAGACAAAAATGGGCAGGACACCCCCCTAAAGACGAGAAAAGTAAGAGAAGGTAATTCCACATGTGTAAAAATGAAGAAACCGCATCACACAGTTGGAGCAGGCAAATGGTTGAGACTCAAGAAAAAGAATTTACCCAAATCATAAGAAAGATCGTTTGTTTGCTGTGAATGCTACAGTCTACAACTTACTGAACACTGCTTTGCTTTGACTGGTCTTGCTTTTAACAACCAAGTACATTTAAAACTAAAGCAAAAAAAAAAATCAAATTGAAGATGCCAATGATTAAGATGATAACTGGCAAAACAGAAAAACATCTTCGGGGGCTAGAGTGATACCACAGCGGGTAAGGCGTTTTGCCTTGCACGCAGCTGACGTGGGTTTGATTCCCAGCATCCTATATGGTCCCCTGTCAGGAGTGATTCCTGAATGCATGATCCAGGAGTAACCCCTGTGCATCATCAGGTGTGACTCAAAAAGAAAAAAGGAAAAAAGAAAACCATCTTCATTCTAGGTCATTCCACTGGCAACTTCCTTGAAACAAAGACTTTAAGAGATTCAAAAGCATGAAGCTGAGATAGCCATGAACAAAGCTTAAGACCAAGGAGAAGTGAGGGTCATCTTCTTGATAATACTTTGGATGTAACGGTTTCCAGCCGGCAGAGCAACAGGCAGCAGAATGTCCTAGTCTAACTACATTAGTCACGACCAGACATTGTAGGGATCCACAGAAGTAGAACCGAACCCGGCAAGCTACCGAGAGTATCTCGCCCGCACGGCAGAGCCTGGCAAGCTCCCCGTGGCGTATTCGATATGCCAGACACAGTGACAGAACCGAACCAGGGCTACTAAAATGGCTCCCTCCTCATGAGACGGTAAAGGGACCAGAGACCCTGTCTTCCCTGAGTGATCTGCACAATGCTCCCTGGCTAGGGACCTTCCAAAAGGCATCTCTAAGCAACAACAATGTGCAGCCCAAATGGCTTTGGTTTGAGTGTGTTTTTGACGTGTGCCAGGATGTAACACAGGCACCACTCCATCAAAGCACACACTCCATGACTGAGCTCCATCCCCTGCACCCAGCAGCCTGAGTGCTGGTCAGTGAGGAGCTCCCTGGCTCTTCCTACTATCCCGGGGAAATGCCTGTTGTCATCACTGGCAAACAAAACTTCTGCCATGTGACAGCAGCCGTTTACCTTGACTCCTTGCCAGTCAACTTGCAGACTTGTTTGCCCAGGAATTCAACTAAGGCCGATCTTTTGTCCATCTTTGGAAATCCTGACAACAGTGACACAGACATGCACCCAGGCCGCAGGGCGGCTCCTCCACAAAAGCCTTTGGACCGGCTTGCTCTGGCATGAAGGAGGGAGTTGAAAGAGAAAAGAAGCTTCCAGCGGAGCATCTCAGCCGACTCTTGAAACATTCTTGCCCCAGACGAAACCAGGGGTGGGACCTGCCCGGCAGCTGGCAAAGCCAGGGCCAGTGGGACGAGAGGCTGGAGTGCCCCCACCCCCAGCACCCAGCATGGATGCCAGATCTCCTGGTGGCAGGCGGCTCTGGGCTCGGCTGCTGGGCGCTCACCAAGTGGCATATTTGAAGAATGTTTCACACTGGGAAACAGGCCAGGCATTCTGAGAGACAGGCTTTCCCCTACCCCCTCACCAGCAAAGGTCGCATTCAGAGGCTTCAGAAAAGAAGATCAGCAAAGAAAGACCCCACTGAAGCCTCTCTCTAGCACGACGGTCTGCAGTCTCCCAGACAGCTCTTAGGGAGGGCGCCAGGGGCAGCCCCGATGAATCGCTCCCTCTCCCCACGAGGGTGTCCGGGTAGTCAAGGCAGAATCTCGAGATGGGAGGACCACATCAGTGGTTCCTCCAGGAAGGAACAGGCTTGGAGAGCCCCTCGTTCCTATCAAAAAACCCAGCATCACTGTGAAGTCTCAGATGGAGGGTGTAGACAGATGGGAGAGACTATCTTATGACAAAAGAGGGTCTACTCCACCTTAGATCAAAGGAGAATGGCAGTATCCTCCTTTTGCAGGACCACAGGTCCCTGCAGACAACGGGACTTTTGTCTGGTCCCTCCTCAAGGTTGTGCTTGAAATTCCAATAAGCCTGTTCCCTGGAACATATTTTTTTTTCCCTTTCTGAACATTTGACAGATTCATAAAATCAAGGTGCCTTTTAAGCTTAGACTGTTCCAGAGGTTTGGGTTTTACTATATCCAGATGACATTAAAATCTCTTAGGGCGAAATGTTATTTTCTAGGTATATGTTTTTGTAGGATGTTATGGGCTCTCTTCTACACAATTAGATATTCAACTGCGCGCATGCATGAAACACATGCATACTCTCTCCTGGTTTAAGAATAAGCCAATTGGGGGGTGGGGGGTGTGGGGGATGCTGGGAGCATTGAAGGTTGAAAAGGGGCACCGGTGGAGGGATGGGTACTCAACATTGTATAACTGAAACCCAAGCACAAAAATTTGTAAGTCTACAACTGTACCTCATGGTGTTTCACTAATAAAAATTAAAAAAAAATATATGCCTAAAACTCAAGTATCAACAACTTTGCAAATAATAGCTTTTTAATAAAAAAATTTAAAAAAATTTAATACATTTTTATTTAAAAAATTTAAATTAAAAAAAAAGAGACCAATCAAGGCTGAATTCACTCACTAAATTCACTCACTACTAAGGTAGCCGTTAAATCCAAGATACCCAAACCCCATTATGTTCAAACTCTCCCTTCATGCCTCTGAC